GTAATAATAAGAAGGTAACGCTTTATACAACGAGAGAGTTAAAAAAAAAACTTGGTTATTACTATTGAGTCAACTGTTTCAAGCAGACTATAATACTTAGTAATGAATTTTTGATTATTTTTTTTTTCGCATTTGACTTTAGCTTTGACTACAAAAATAGATGGCTTAGAGTTGTACTATATATAATTCAAGTCTTTTTTTTTGTGTTGTTTCAAATTTTTCATTAGAATAAATTTTGATATAATTTAATGAAAATCTGTGAGTCTAACAACTTTAATTTTAAAAATCAGTTCTAATTCATTACGAGTGACCTATAATACGTGATGATAAAATGTTAATCATATTTTTCATATAGAATATTGAAATTTTTATCGTATGACTATTTAATTATCATCTATACTTTTCTCCACGTTTTAGGCTCCTAGCTAAAACTTTGGAGAAGCAATGATCATAATTAAATAGACATATGATAAAAATATTTCAAACATCTACGTCAAAAAACGAGTAAGTATGAAAAATCTCATTAACAATTTGTTCTCAGTTATTATGAGATACCCTTTATAATTCACATGTGTTTCATGGAGAGTGTGTGTATGTTACTTAGGTATTGAAAGCATTAATTGTACCATTACTATTAAATGTCGATACTAAGACATACTAAATACCAATGTTAGCAACATAGATTTAACAAAAAAAAAAAAGATAAAACATTTAAATTGATTTAATTATCGTTTATATTATATATCTATCAATTTATTTTTTTACATTATCTTTTCCTTCTATTCACTTATCACATAGATATCTGAAATCACAAAAATCATATTAGGCAATTCTTTGATGCTTTGTTATAGGTATTTACATAATCTTCTTTTTTTTTATGAATATGTCTAAAGTATACAATGTGTCGTATTGAGACTTTTGCTATTCATACTGATTCAACGTTACAAATTGAACATTAATGTTTGTCATAAGACATCCGCAAATAATAAAACTATGAACTGTGGGCTTCTTCGTCTTGATCTTTGTTTATTCTCATAAAACCGGCAATATTGCAATAATTAAAATGATCTTATTTACACAAAAAAAAAAGAAAGAAAAAAGAAAAAAGAAAAATAAAACCAAACAATATATTATTTTTGTTTTTAATTAACTAGCTGATGTTTGTGAAGATGAGAATGTCGGAAACAAAGAAGGTGTTGATTGACGAAGACGATGATTAGATGATATAAATGAAGTCGGAAAAAGAATAGTAGATGAAGAACTTAAACGATGATTTATTGATGATGATAATGTTACAGGAGAAGTTAAACTTCCATCTTCACTTTCTTCATAATCTATATTTGTCGAATCTGTTGATATTGGTTGTTTACGATATATGGTCTGTAATAGTCGAAGGCGTAGTACCTATATTGAACAAAAAAATTAAAATAAAAGTATAATGAATTTTTTTTTTTTTATTGTTGTTGATCTTGCAATAAATCATTATTATTTAGTTAATATTAACTAGTAATGAGCAAATCTCACTCGAATCAATCAAAATATCATCTTCATCAATAGAATCTTGTGTCGGCCAAAATTCTTTTGCATAGAATATATTCGAATGTCTTACAGGTACTGAATTAGTACGTGTAAGATGAGTATATCTTAACTGTAAAACAAAAACAAAAATTTGGAATACTATATGATAGCAGCAATCATAGCAGCTTTATTTATACACATGCAAAAAAACCAAAGAGAGAGAGAGAGAAAATTTTAGATAGAAATACTTGTTGTATTAAATGAAAAACGTTTCTATAATATAATTCAATGAAAACTCTATTTGTTAAATGTATTACAAACCTCATCTTGTAATTCAACAAGTTTTTCTTGAAGATCTTTATTATCCATTATTTGACCACGACTTATTAATTCTTGATTCTTATAATAAAAAATAAAATATATATATATATACATCAAATTATTTATTTAATTGTTAGATAAATTTACTTGAACTTCTAATTCAGCTATTTTTTGACGTAAATCACCAATTGCTTGAGTACTTTCAGCTTCTCGAATACGTAACATCATTGAATCTTCTTTTTGCTAGAAACAAAAAAAAAACAAATTTTTATAAAGAAAATGAAAAAAAAAAAAAAAAGAATATTTTTTATTATACTCGTAATTCTCCATCATGTAAATGATTTTTAATTTCATTCAATTGTGTACGTAATTCATTCTCACGTATACGAGATTCTTGTAATTCATGACGAATTCGTTGTATTTCATCATCTTGTCGTTTTATTTGATTATATGAAACTTGTGTTTGTGTTTCAGAATGCATTAATTTTTGTGAAAGAAGTTTATTATCACAATCTAATTGTGCTTCACGCATTTTAAGAGATATTAATTCATGAGCAATTAAATCATATGCATCATTTGTTGGTTGAGAATCATTTGTAGCATTTTTTTCACGAATAGTTTTACATGTACTACTATGTAATTGCCATTCATAATTAAGATCAGCTATACGTTGACGAAGTTCATTTATACTAACTTGAGCTTCAGCATCACGCATTTTTACAAGTGTTAATTCTTCTTGTAAAGCAGCTATTTCAACATGTGGTGCAGTTTGTAAAGTACGATTTTCCTATAAACATATATATGAAAGTATTGTTAGAATATTCATATAATATAAAACAATTTACTAATGTCAATTTCTGAACTGTTTCATATAGAGTTTCTAATTCTTCATTATCATGTGATATAGTAGTCATATTTGTTGAATTTTGATTATTATCTTTTATCGTAGTATTATTAATATTTTGATTATTATGTTCTTCTAATTGTTTTTTGAAATTATAATTTTCACGTTTTAATTGATAAGATTCTTCAGCATATTGAGCATTTAATACTTGACCTTCAATTAAACGATTTGCTAATGTTGCACTTTCCTTTTTTTTTTTAAATTAAATTAAAACATATATAAATTTGTTATTCTAATAGAACATACTTTTTCTAAATTTTCAACTCGTTGTTTTAATAAACGATTTTCATTTCTTAATCTCTAGAACAAAAGATGACATGACCTACAACAATGTACTAAATAAAAATATCTACATACACGTATTTCAACTTGTTCTTCTTGTTCTTCTTTACGAATAACAACATATTCTTTTTCTAATCTGATATAAATAAAAAAAAGAAATATACAAGAATTATATATTTTATTCTTATATATATATATAAGTTTAGGTACTTTTTCATTTTTTTCACATTATATTGCACAGCAAAAGCACGTTGAAATAAAGATTCATGGTCATTTTCATGTTTAATAGGCACTTCTTTTTGAAAATACTAAATCGAAAAAAAAAAAAAAAAGAATAAATCAAATCTCATTTGCAAACAATAAGCTCATATGAAAATCGAGAAACTTATGTGCATACGAACAAAAGAAACTCAAAAGGTGCATATATGTATATAACATTCAATAATTCTTTTACCTATTCAAAAAATGAGCATGTTAGAATTGTGCAAATAAATCCTTTTCTCTTTTGTTCTAATAATCATTGGTTTTTTTTTTTCGAGGGTTGGTCCTTTTTTATATTGTTCAGTAACTTACCGATGTGACAGCAGACACTGAACCTTGAACACTTTTTAAAGTCTGTGTACACTGTTCGACTAGACGATCTTGAACAGCGTGTAAACGACGATCCATGCATGCAAATAAATGTGTAGAACAATACACAAGGATTGATATGGATGTCTGTTTGTTTCTCCTTTTTCTCTCCTTTTTCTTTTTTAGTGAGTTATAAATGTCTTCACCCTCGTTTGGACAGAACAAAACGCGCACATGCATACACACACCAAATATACAATCATTAGCGGCAGCAATGGTGTCATTTTATTTTCTCTCTCTTTCTCTCTTTTTTTCTCTCTATTTTCTCTCTTTTTTTCTATGCTATTCATCGACTAACTATAACACATATGAATGACATGATTGAATATATATATATAT